TTTTAACTACTCTATATTCTTCTCTCAAATCTTTCATCATCTTTCAAATTCTTTCAATTCACCTTTCCCCTCCCCCAGCGCCTTTTTTTTTCCTTTTTTTTTTTTTTTTGTGTGTGTGTAGTCGTGTCCCCTTTCCTTGTGAGTCTTATCTATCAACGCTTGGGAATCGCAGAAAAAAGGAAACTGAGTTTGAGTTTGAAGTTGTTGTTGAAAAGACTAAAATAGTTTAGTTTTAAAAAGAAAGGAAAAAAAAAAAAAAAGAAGTGAAAAGAAAGAAATTCCTTGTGAGAGAGACGGTTATACTAACGGATGGCGCTCTTTCTCTGGCTGTCGTTTGTCTCTCTCGTTTTCGGTAAATGTCGTTTTCGGTACTATGTTGTTATCATCTTAGGCTCGCTTGCTTGGTATGCGGGTGCAATGTGGAGATGCATGCGCACACAGCAGCAGCAGCAGCAGCAGCAGCAGCGATGGCGGCTGTCTCTAATACGTCATTTGGTTGTGTGTGTGTGTCTATTGGGTGCTCTTTTTTTTTTTTCCGCAGATGCTAGCTCGTCGGGCCGCCAGCCTTGTTGTTCGCAGACAGGTCGGAATTTCAAAGCGAGAAGCTGAAAGAGACTCTCAAGACGTCTCTTCTCTTCTCTTCTTCCTTCGTTGAGAGAGAGAGAGAGAGAGAGAGAGAGAGAGAGAGAGAGAGAGAGAGAGAGAGAGAGAGAGAGAGGCTCCTCAGTGTACCTCCCCCCGCTCCCATCTCCTCAGTGTACTTATTACTACCTTATTATCTGTCGGGGGGGGGAGTCGGGGGGGTGGTAGAGTTTTGAGCAGCAATGGAGGGAGATTCGAGCAGAAGGGAGGAGATGGGAGCGGGGGGAGGTGTGTTGGAGGCAGAGGAGGGGGGAGATTTCTATCACGAGCTCGCTGAAAATTTCGACTTGATGAAACGCCAAAGTAACAATGTTAAAAGAGCTCAACTGCAGCTGGCAAAGGCGGAGATGCGGAGGGATGTGCGGAGAGAAGAGATGAGGGAACTGTCGGAGGAGATGGCCAAGGCAAAAAGCACGCTGGCGGAGTGCGAGCGAGAAGCAGGGTGCTTGGAGGGTGAGATAGAGGCGATGGCTGTCCAGTTGGGAAGGAGGGAGGCTGGTGACGAGCCAGGGGGTCCTCGCAGCAGCAACAGCAGCAGGGGGGGGGCGGGGGCGGGGGCGGCGGAAAGGGAAGAAGGCGAGGGAGAAGGTGAGGGGGAGGTGGTAGCGTCAAGTTGGAATCGACAGAACGACATTGCGGTCGTAGAGAAGATGCGCAAGGCACAGGAAGACCTGGAGGCGAAGAAGAGCGAGATTCGGCTTTTGCAAGAGCAGCTAGAAGGGATGGAAACGATGACAGCACAGTGGAGGGCGAGCGAGAGCGAAGTGGAAGAGCTGCGGCGACAGGTGGAGATGGCCACTCAGCACGCGAAAGCCGGCGAGGAGAAGCTGGTCGCCTCCGAGTGGACAGTCGCGCAACTCGGCGGAGCTCTGCAGAAAGCCAAGCAGTGTATTCATCAGAAGGAGCGCAGCGAGACCGAACTGTTCGGCCGCTTGGTCAGACTGGAGAGGGAGTGTGAGGTGTGGAGAAAGGACTGCGGCGAGCTGGAGGAGGAACTCGATCGGGCGTATGAAGATTTGAAGAAGGAGCAGGAGCGGACGCAAGCGTTGGGCGGCGACCTGACGAGGCTTCGGTCTCTGGTCGAGGAGCTGCGAGTCAGCGAGGCGGCTGCCAAGGAGATGGCGGCCAAGCTTGAGAGCGACCGGTCGCGCGAACAGCGCCGGGCGTGCGAAGATTTCGAGAAAGAACAAGAGCGGGCGGAAGCGTTGGGCGGCGAAGTGACGAGGCTTCGATCTCTGGTCGAGGATCTGCGAGCCAGCGAGGCGGCGGCCAAGGAGATGGCGRCCAGGCTTGAGAGCGACCGGTCGCGCGAACAGCGCCGGGCTTGCGAAGATTTGAGGAAGGAACAAGAGCGGGCCGAAGCGTTGGGCGGCGAAGTGACGAGGCTTCGATCTTTGGTCGAGGATCTGCGAGTCAGCGAGGCGGCGGCCAAGGAGATGGCGACCAGGCTTGAGAGCGACCGGTCGCGCGAACAGCGCCGGGTGGAGGACCTGAACGCCGAGCTGCAGGCGCAGCAGGTGGAGGTGGAGAGAGAGAGGGAGGAGGTGCGCAGGTTGCAGGAGATGTGGACGACGTCTCAGGAAGAGGTGGAGAGAGAGAGGGTGGAGTGGCGGGCAAGATTGGAGCAGGAGTCGCTGAGGCGCGCGGCGGAGAACAAGGCCCGGCTGCAGAAACAGGAGGAGGAGGAGGAGGAGGAGGAGAGGAGGCGGGGGGAGGCGGGGGGAATCGTGAGCGACGAGCTCGATGCGCAGCAGACGGAGATTGCGAAGCTGAAGGCGGAGCTGCTCTCTCAGGTGGAGAAGGCCAAGGACATGGAGCGCAGAATGCAGGAGAGCGCGATCGACGCGCGGAAAGAGGCGGAAAAGGCGTGCCAAGCGCAAGCCGATCTGCAGGAGAAGGAGTCGGAGATCCGAGGGCTCAAGACGAGGCTCAACTTCTACGTGGGCAAAGTGAGGGGGATGGAGGAGGAGATCGAGTGCTTGAAGTCGCAGCTCGACAGCGCGCTGCAGGGCGACTCGGACTCTCCGACGGGCGGTAGGTTCGACAAAGAGGAGGACGAGGCGAAGGAGGAGGAGGAGGAGGAGAGGAGGCAGCTCCTGCTTGATAACAGGCTCCGCAGGGATATGGAGAACATGCGAATGCGGCTGGTGGAGATGGAGGAGGTAATTAAACGCTACGAGAAAGAGCTGGAAGACAGAGTGATGGAAGAGATCAGGCTCAGCGACGAGCTCACGCGAGTGCGGGAAGCCGCAAGCAATGACATCGCAGAGCTGGAGCAGGACCTCGAGAGGGCGTTCGTTGCGCTGACCGACGGGGAGAAGAAGTACGACTCCCTCGTGGAAAAGCTGGGGGAGGCGGAGAGAAGAATGCTTGCGCTGCAGATGCAAGAGGAAGAGGCGCAGCGCAGGATCGACTGCATACTGCGGGACATAGACGTGAAGGAGGAGACGATAAGCGCTCTGGAGGAGGAGGTCAGGCAGAAGGAAGCCCGTCTGTGTGAAATGGAGGAGAGGGAGAAGCTGCATGTCCAGGAACGCTCGAGGCTTCTGACAGTGCTGAAGAAGAGAGAGGAGGAGGTGGAAGCGCTCAGGAGGGACGAGAGAGGAGGCGGTGAAAAGCCGCGGCGGAACAAGGGGGGAGAGGATGATGAGGATGATGGCGATGGTGATGATGATGATGATGATGATGAATCACGGAGGAGGAGGACGCCGAGGGGATCCTACATCCAGCGGCAGCATGCAGCTTGGAGGTTGACGGGCTGCTATGGCGATGGTGGTGGTGGCTATGGAGGAGGAGATGGCGGGAGAGAGGAGGAACTCCTCAAGCGACTGGACCAGAGGGAGAGGGAGCTTCAGAAGCTGCACGGCAAGGTTGGGCAGATGGTGTTTCTGTCGGGACGACTGAGGAGGTCGGAGGCGGAGAAGGAGGGATTGAGAAACGTGCTCTCAGAGCTGAGCAGGGAGCTGAAGAGGAGGGAGCACGAGCTGAGGGAGGCTGACGACAAGGAGAATACTATGACGCTCCAAATCGAAGCGATGGCGTGGGCGGTGGAGGCGAAGGAGAAGGAGGTGGAGAGGTTGGAGACCGAGGTGCGCAACATGAGGGCGGAGTTCGATGGAACCGGCGCCGAGGTAAGGGAGCTGGAGGACAAGATGAAGCGCATGAGTGGCATCATGGCGGAGCTGGAGCGGAAGAAGAAGGAGGTGTCGGGGGAGACGGCGCGGAGCCGAGAGCGGATGGCGCGCAAGCTGCAGAAGCTGAACGAGCAGATGCTGGCGGAGACCCAGCGATGCCAGGCGGCTATGGCCGACCTCGACGCGTCGGCTGCCGAGATCCAAGCGAGGGACAGGCAGCTGGGACACTTGATGTACACGATCAGGGAGATGGAAGCGCAGAGGAAGAAGACCGCGGCGATGGCGGAGGAGGAGAGAAGGGACAGAGACCGCCGGCAGCAAGCGCTCGAGGCGGAGATCGGACGGCTGAAGAAGTCTCTGGCGCAGTCAGAGACCGACCTGCAGAAGGCGACAGAAGAGAAGACGACCAAGGAACGGCTCCTTGCCGACCTCCAGAAAAGGCTGGAAACGATAGAGAAAGAACTCGCGGAGAAGAACGAAGCGCTCGACCTGATCGGCAGAGAGATGGCGGTGCTAGCGAAGGAGCTCAGCGAGAGGAACGAGGCGGTCGTTGCGCTGCGGACGCGCGTGCAGGAGCTGGAAGGGCTGACGACGACCGGTAGCACACAACACCAGTGGGAGGATGACACGTCGGATGAGCCCGACGCGTACGATCTCAGCTATGCCTTTGCAGATACCGATCCCAGCACGAAGCAGTCTCGAGTGAATGGCAAGTATGCCTATGCCGATGCCGATGCCGGTGAGGGGGAGGGGGAGGGAACATTCCCCCCCGTCATCTTAAGGGCAAGCGGCGGAAAGGTTGATGTGTGTGCGCGGATGTCGGAGAGCGAGATCGATGTCGACGAGCTTGGCTCCTCGTCGAGTGGAAGGTTGACCGACGTCCATGCTTGTGAGGATAAGGTGTTCGAAAGGGAGTCGAGTGTTGTTGTTCGTGGGGATTGTGGGGGGTATAGGAACTGGATGGAGGAGGTGGGCTTCGTCAAGCCCCACGTGTCGTTGAGAAGGATACCACGAGGACGAGACGGAGGGGGGTTGCCGCGCGGAAGACAACCTACGACCGGTCGTACGTGTAGCAGTTGGAGGATAGCCCACGGATCTCAGGAAGTGACTCAGGGGGAAAGAGAGGGGGGAGGGGCGGGGGGGGCCTCGGACGATGCCTCCGAAGAGGAGGATGGCTCCTTTTGCTCACTCAACCTGCAGGACGGGTTTCAGCAACGACCTGGTAGTGTACGACCGGGCGACCGGACGCACGGGACGGTCGGCGCGGGGCACAATGACTGGTATGAGGGGTTGTCGGAAAGCAGCTCCGGTCGTTGGTCGCTCAATGTCGGGGATCACTGGGGAGATGTATGATTAGTAAATAGAATCGAGATGGGAGTTTTTTTTGTCTTCCTCT